CATGAAGGGTGCGCTGCATCCTGCTAAGGGTGTTCGGCATCTTGTGCTTACTTCCTTGCATACGGATGACAGCTGCGTGACTTGATATGTTTTCTGGTGCTTCACTTCCAGAGACAGTTGCAAGCACTGTGTAACTTNCCTGGTTGCCGAGTTCACGAAGTGAATTGGCTTGTTTTACAACGTCGTTGCCAAGCGACGAAAACCCACCCCCGATGGCAAACACCGATGGGGGGGCTTGGNCAACATGATCTACTCGACCACCATTATGGTTACCGCCAAAAAAAACAGATGTAATAAAAAACAAACGGTAACCTGGTTGCCGAGTTCACGAAGTGAATTGGCTTGTTTTACAACGTCGTTGCCAAGCGACGAAAACCCACCCCCGATGGCAAACACCGATGGGGGGGCTTGTTTACAACGTCGTTGCCAAGCGACGAGAACCCAACCCCGATGGCAAACACGGGGGGGGGGAAGTGAGGACGGGGGCAGGTGAATTTTCGACGGCGCTGCCAGAGGATGGGAGGACGTGTTAGTGGCAAATCTCAACTGCTTCTGCTTTTGCGTTCTGGTTGTGGGAGGCGACACGTCCTGCCCTCGTAGCCCTGGGTGAAAGGCGAGGGTTGGGGGTGGGAGTTCTGTGAGGCGACTTGCTTTTGGAGCTGGTAGCGTCCATTTTCGCCCCGGCCACGATAGCGGCGCGTACTGCCCTCGTAACCCTGGGTGAAAGGCGAGGGTTGGGGGTGGGAGTTCTGTGAGGCGACTTGCTTTTGGAGCTGGTAGCGTCCATTTTCGCCCCGGCCACGATAGCGGCGCGTACTGCCCTCGTAACCCTGGGTGAAAGGCGAGGGTTGGGGGTGGGAGTTCTGTGAGGCGACTTGCTTTTGGCGCTGGTAGCGTCCATTTTCGCCCCGGCCACGATAGCGGCGCGTCCTGCCCTCGTAGCCCTGGGTGAAAGGCGAGGGTTGGGGGTGGGAGTTCTGTGAGGCGACTTGCTGTTGGCGCTGGCAGCGTTCTTGGTGGCCCCGGCCATGGTAGCGGCGCGTCCCCCCCGCGTAAGCCGGGGCGAAAAGCGAGAGCTGGGAGTGGGAGTTCTGTGAGGCGACTTGCTGTTGGCGCTGGCAGCGTTCTTGGTGGCCCCGGCCATGGTAGCGGCGCGTCCCCCCCGCGTAAGCCGGGGCGAAGGGTGAGGGCTGGGAGTGGGAGTTCTGTGAGGCGACTTGCTTTTGGCGCTGGTAGCGTCCATTTTCGCCCCGGCCACGATAGCGGCGCGTCCTGCCCTCGTAGCCCTGGGTGAAAGGCGAGGGTTGGGGGTGGGAGTTCTGTGAGGCGACTTGCTTTTGGCGCTGGCAGCGTCCTTTTTCGCCCCGGCCGCGATAGCGGTGCGTCCCCCCCGCGTAAGCCGGGGCGAAAGGCGAGGGCTGGGAGTGGGAGTTCTGTGAGGCGACTTGCTGTTGGCGCTGGCAGCGTTCTTGGTGGCCCCGGCCATGGTAGCGGCGCGTCCCCCCCGCGTAAGCCGGGGCGAAAAGCGAGAGCTGGGAGTGGGAGTTCTGTGAGGCGACTTGCTGTTGGCGCTGGCAGCGTCCTTGGTGGCCCCGGCCATGGTAGCGGCGCGCGCCCCCCGCGTAAGCCGGGGCGAAGGGTGAAGGCTGGGAGTGGGAGTTCTGTGAGGCGACTTGCTTTTGGCGCTGGCAGCGTCCTTGGTGGCCCCGGCCATGGTAGCGGCGCGTCCCCCCCGCGTAAGCCGAGGCGAAGGGCGAGGGCTGGGAGTGGGAGTTCTGTGAGGCGACTTGCTTTTGGCGCTGGCAGCGTCCTTGGTGGCCCCGGCCATGGTAGCGGCGCGTCCCCCCCGCGTAAGCCGAGGCGAAGGGCGAGGGCTGGGAGTGGGAGTTCTGTGAGGCGACTTGCTTTTGGGGCTGGCCACGAGACCGGCGCGTCCCGCCCGCGTAAGCCGGGGCGAAAAGCGAGGGCTGGGGGAGTGAGAAGATGAAGCTCGCCCGGTGCTGTAAGAAGTGGAAGGGGACAAAGAGGGCGACGAGCGTGACCCCCGGCTAGAAGAGTTCCTACCAGAAGAAGCGCCGTTGGTGGTGGAGCTCCTACCAGAATAATTGCCACTGCTGGAAGTCCTGGCAGATGAAGAGGGTGACGAGCGTGACGCTCGTTGGGCGCCGCTGCTGGCGGAATTCCTGGTGGTGGAGCTCCTGTCAGGGGCATCCTTTTGCCACCCATGCTTCATTCGCTTCGGCAGCCACTAGACCAGGTTTTGTTTTTGTGAAAAGTCTTTGCAGATGACGAGGACGACGAGCGTGACCCTCGTTGGGCGCCGGTGGTGGCGGAATTGCTGGTGATGGAGCTCCTGCCAGAGTAATTGCCGCTACTGGAGGTCTTGGCAGAAAAAGAGGACGACGAGCGTGACCCTCGTTGGGCGCCGCTGGTTGGGGAACTCCTACTACTAGAGTTCCTACCGGAAGAAGCGCCGCTGCTGGAAGCCCTGGCGGACAAAGAGGACGACGAGCGTGACCCTCGTAGGGCGCCGCTAGTTGCGGGAGTGGGAGTTCCTAGCGGAAGAAGCGCGACTGTTGAGTCTTGGAGGAGGAGGATGAGCGTGACATGGACCTTGTCCAGTAGTAACCATGTATAGCTTGTATTACACTAAGAGCATCGTCTACCTGCTGTACAGATTTGTTTAGCAGCTTGTTTTCGAAAAATCTCATATAGGAAGACTTTGCTTCCCGTGGCAATTCCAATTCTCGAGCGTAAGACTCCCAAAACGCAACGAACTCTGGTTTTGCATGGAGGGTAGTGATCCTACCGTCATATGCACCCACTATATTAGCAACGATGCTTAGCAAATCAAGTCATCTACAGCTCGCTCTATGTTCTTTTGGCACCCGGGCTTGGTCGAAGTTGACCAGATATCTGTGAATGTTCAAAAATTTAATGTCTCCCGATTGTGTTACTAGCGTTGAACTCGCGTCGAGAAGGCCATGGCAGTGAGTGCGGTGCATCTTTGCCACGGCGACCCCCACTTTCGCCATTGCGCACTTTCGGAGAGCCACGGGGTAAGCACTCAATGTATCCAGTGTTGCACCCGGAGGGGCGATCGTGACATAATATCCCATTTTGTTGGAATAGGCGAGGCCCGACTTAACGATCCTCGGTACTGTTGTCGCGTCTGTGAGGTTCTGGGTGCTCTCGCCATACAGAAAGCTGCAAAGATCCCTCTATATGTTGACATTGAAGACCTGAATGAACACGTTTCATTTGTTGTACGCACCACTATACCATCGGGGATCACCGTCAGAATATATGGTCCTATGTATCGAACAACCGCGAGGCAGGTTAAACAGTTGAGTAAGCGTCGACGCGTAACTGTCGCGCCTAGAATTGGTCGGATTTTCAAACATTTGTGGAAAATCTAAAATGAGATTTCTAAAGTTCCCTCTGTCGATTTCCTCAGCCGAGTTGAAAAGATCAAAAGAGTTTATGGCGGCGCCCAGCTCGCGATGCATTGTTGATAAGTTAGATTCGGTTGCCGTTGCCCCTGATTGCTTGCGAGACTGGACACAGCCCCCAGTTTTGTCACATTACACATTTCTACGAGACGCCTTGTGTGCATCGGTCATGCCATCGATGCCCCTGAAGATCGCGCCTTTCCAATCATCAGCCCCTGAAGATCGCGCCTTTCCAATCATCATATATCCTCCTTTTCCATGTCTGGTAGTCGACGTTCGAGGGCTTGCGAGCCGCGCTTTCGCTAAGCTTGATGCTGGAAACAATCCAGGGATTCGGTATCATACATCTACCGACACCGGGTCGAAAACACCTTGGGCGCCTGCAAACCATAATGTGCAATGCCTCTATGCGACAAAATATAACTCATTTCAGTGCTGTTGGTTGGTGGCGGAAAAGTACATCATCAGCGACACACTACCGCCACCCGTCGAGTATTCGGAGTACTTGCCAAGGTCGAATGTGTAACCGGAAGACATCCCAGAAGTCCCTTCAATGACGTTCCGAGACAGCACGTTGGGTATATCGAACGTTGATCCTGTGGCCAGATTCAGGCTGCACCTGGCTTTTTTCCACCTTTCGTGCCTAAAAGTAACGATCGACACTGTGATGTTCACTCTACCACCGATACAGGAGTCTGCCATGTCGCTGTGAATACTACCAGACAGGCCTAGGCACTTGTCGGTGTGGCGAACGATGCAATTTATGCGCTTGTTTCCTGCACAGCCACCGGCGGTAGTTGGGTGCACTGGGTGTTTCAGGGAGGGAAGACGAAGAAAGCCTGCAACCTGCCCCTCTTCCTTCTAGTGATGTCGACCTCGGCCGTCGTTGACACCATCATATTGAGGTTTCGCGGGTACGACGAGATGGGGCAGAAGGTCTTCCTCCTTCCGGATTCATCCGATGGGGTGATGCTGAAAATGGTGTTCATGCACTGAACGATGTCACCGTTGGTCATGGCTTTCAGGTGCTTCTGTGTAAATTCCATGAACTCCTCCATAGACAGCCTGTGTGAGCGTATTGTCCTCCAGAGGCTTCCCTGTCCACCGAAGTCGTGTTTGAAAATCGACATGGCGTCGGCGAACTCGGCGTATTCCTTGTCACCGACTTTCCTTTCCCACAGCCTAAAGAGATGCGTCCACAGATCTGGCCCCCGAGATGTTGAGCTCATCGTTGCTGCACAGCATCACGAGGTTTGGCATCGATTCTCGCTTGATTGCGCAGAAGTCTCGTTGGCGCATGATTTCGAACGCATAATGGTGGCAATAGCTCTCGATGTCACACAGGACTTCATCGTCGCGCCTGTGAGTGGCATACTCGAACGCCTGCATGGCGTTCATGGGCGTCAGTGTGTTTTGGATCAGCTTACGGAATATGCTCTTTCCTGGAACGATGCCGTAGAAGCGAACAGCCGCGTTCCTCTCCAGGGTGCGGAGTATGCTTTCTCCCTTCGTGTACATGACGAGACCGGTGTGGCAGAACACACGAATCATGTGGAAGATATACTTCTTCTCATCCAGTGGGAACATGACAATGGGGGACGTACCACAGCAGTGGAAGGATGCCAGCATCAAAGTGCTGTTCAAGAAGGGGGACACGATGGAGTACGGCAATTACCGGGGTATCTCTCTCGTCGCACACGCCGGCAAGGTGCTGTTTAAGGTCGTCGCTACACGACTGAGCCACTACTGCGAGCGAGAGGGCATCCTCCCGGAGGAGCAGAGCGGTTTCCGCCCACA